GGCACCAGAGGCCTGGGCTTAGGCAATGCAATCAAGCCCTTAAATTCTTGCCTAATCCATTCCTTGCCATATATTTGTCAAGAAGGGAGGTAAAGAACCCCTCAAAAATATGGACGTCTAACTTGAATGTAAACAAAGGAGCTATTTAATTTTACAGGTAATTATATTTGCACCTGCAATTAGCCTGTATATACATCAGGGGTGCGTAGAGAGGTGGTTTCTGCAGGTTTGGGTAGAGTGAGTAGAGAAATGCATTTTTTACTGCGTATATGGATACTTCATTTTGTTTGGTTGTGTCTGGTTCACTGTTGCTTGACTCTCCCAGCACTTTTTAAAATTTTCCAAAGGCGCTCGCTTAATCTTATCTCTCTGTCTTTTCTTTTAGCTGTGGTCAGTGCCATTCCAGTGCCAACACTAGAAAGTGCCCAGTACCCCGGGATCCTGCCATCTCCCACCTGTGGATACCCACACCCTCAGTTCACTCTTCGGCCTGTGCCATTCCCAACGCTCTCTGTCGACAGGACCTTTGGAACAGGAAGAAGTCAGTGCAGTGCTGTTCTGTTTTGTTGTTGTTGTTGTTGTTGTCGTTGTTGTTATGAAAATGCTTGGAAATAGCAAACCTGGTGGGTGCTATCCAGCTTGCTTTCTGTCAGCAGGATGTATAATCTCTAACCAATGCAATTCATGCTACCCTGTTTTTTGAGTGCATAATAGGAACCAGGCTAAGAAGTAGTTGAGCAATTCAGTATGGGCTGCCTCTTTTCCAGTGGTGGCTCCAGGAGCAACTTCCATTATATACTGAACAGCACCTTGTCTTAAAAGTTAAAAGTTATTGCATCTTATCAACGTGCCTGCTGTGTAATTCCCAAGCAATTTAAAAGAGGAACATAGAAATGACCGCGTGGTTGAGGAGACTGGTGCCTCCCAATGGCAGGCTACATATAGTTCAGAAGCATCCACAACAGTTTGGTAGCACATAACCGGAGTTTACTGAGACCCAGAAGAGTCTGACTGAAATAGTCAAGTCAACCTGCGTAATCTATTTAGCTCCATTGTAACCCCAGTCTGTGCCATGACACTCAGGTAAGGAGAGCCTGTGCCCTGGGGAATGCTTCCTCTTCCCATTGCCTCCCCTTCTCCTCACAGCTGAGCACATCCTAGAACCTGCATCAAATAGTGATCTAATTTGATCCTTTTCTGCAGGTCTTTGAGTCATATCACTGTACTTTAATTTCCTTTGCTTTATCCACAAGGACATTCCCAGAAAAACAGAGACACCAAGAGATCTTTATCTCAAGGCAGAATCATCACTCATTAAAATCATCCATGATAGCACTTAACACACAGTGTCTTCCTAGCTGCCCTCACTGCTAGAAGCATTTTCCTAATATTTAACTTGTTAGAGTTTAAGCCAGTTGTTCCTTGTTTGGATTATAGTCGACATGGAACATTTTATTTTCTTCTTTCTTATGGCTTCTTTTTGTACATTTGAATCCTGTTATCTGGTCTCGTATCAGTTGTCTCATCTCTAGAGTGAGTTCTGTATTCATATTTGCTCCTGTACAATAATAGATTTGGGTTTTGTGTGTTCCCATATCTATTCTTCATCTTGCCACGATCCAGGGAAATGGTGTGCACACAGCACACGCTCTCCAGCCTCACCTTCATAAGTTACTTCTAAGCGTCTTCTGCACCGACAGCCATCTGTTCTTTGTTCTAGCCTAATGAGCATGCCCTGGCATATTAATTATAGTTGGAGGGCTCATATTTTCTTATAATTCTCCCTTAACTCTACTGCATATCAAGTCTGAATTATTGACAGATTAATGTCAATCTGTTACACATATATTTTCACATCACAGAGAGTCTGTGCTGCTGGTCCACAGGGAATTACTTTCGAAATGTCTGATTTTTCCTCCTATTTGATTGTTGCTTTCAGTCAGTTCAGACAGGTCCTTGGGGGGCCGATGATTGAAATTCTAGCAGAGGGATCATAGGTAAAAGGTGGGTTCAGGTGTTCTGTTCATCAGCCCAGTGTCATTTCCCCTCGTGTCGATGTACTGACAGAGTTCCTTTTACAACTAGATGGCAATTTCCTCTGGAGGGCCAGGCTGGTATAGTCAGTTTTTGATTTGCTGCTTAAATTAATATCAAATTCACCACAAATGCAATGCACAAAAACAAAGCAGATTCAGTTTCTTGGTTGACATACACTAGGTGTTGAATAAAAAATTCACTATCCTGCGCCTAATCATGGAGATGGGAAAAAAATTGAAGACTGAGTTGTTTAGTCTTTTTCTGAAACAACTTTGAAAAAAACACTATAAGTTTGATGCGCATCTAATACACGCTTCACCAGTACTCACTGCAGAAGTATAGATAGTGAAGAGTCTCACATGTCACAGGGTGATGAGGTATAAACACACAGTAGCATACAAATGGAGCCTCTTCAGGTAGGGCACGGTTCGAAAGGGCAAAACATATCCCCTCATCCCCCCCCAGTAGAGGATCTTCAGATATTTACCTCACCTTGATGTATATCCACGCAGCTGTCATCATCTTTGCCTGCTTGGAAAGGAACCTCAGCTCCTTCAGTCTTCATGTCTTCCTATCTCTTCTCTGCCTCTCAACTTTTACCCCATCAAGTACCTCCACACACAGATCTGCCTTCAATGCCAGATTTTTCCCCAGAATGGAAGATATAGCACCTCTTGGTCAGCTGGTCAGCATCTGAACCTTCTTTTAGGACACATCTCCTCTCAGAAATGATTTGGTCAAACTGGCCATGCCAGAGACATGGACTGGAAGTGAGTAGTGCTATGCTGAGATCCTGGCTCTTCCTGATGTAAGTTCTATATAGAAATGTATGCGTTTGCCTAATTCTTTCAAGTGCAGAATGCCTGAGAGTTGAACAGAAGATTATTAAAACACAAAAGTTTTCTGGCAGGAGGTTAAATACCAAACAATTCTAATTATTCAGCAGTCCTGAAGGACCTTGAATAAGCTCAGGTAGTGAAGGTTTCGGATAATTTAGGCAATTCCTCATTAAATAATTCAATAGCAGTGGACATAGTCTTGTTTCAGGTAATTTCTGGACAATCAAGGTATTTCAAAAATTATCTAACCCCATTACAACATGAAATGAGAATCTGTTATAGTTGCAGTTACACTCTCTGGTTTAGGCTAATGATTTCCAAAGCTCCTAGGTCATACTGAATATGCTGTTCAAGTGAAATATTATCTTCCTTCACTGTGCCTTCCATTTTCAATACCACCGCAATCAAGCTAAAGTACAAGTGAGTGGAGATGGTGTTTGTTTTCTAGTGACAATTGACAGTGTCAGAACCAGCCAACAGCTCACTAGCTTCATATAATGGCAGAATTCATTAGTTGTCAGTCTGCAGAGAGATGAAGGCATGTAAAAATACATTTCTAACGTGATGCCTAAAGCTTTTCTCAGCACCAGTGCTGCTGCTGCTTGGTGCCAGCACTGGCAACGTCAGGCTATCTGAAAGAACAGTCATTCACAAATGCTTCCTATCAGCTCCCTAGATTAAGAAGCAGCTGCTTCATGTCTAGATCACCTCTCAGTGTCTCATGGATGACTTCATTGCAGCAGCAAACGGTGATAGATCAACAAAATGACTCCAACATTTTGAATTCTCTCACACATTTCTCTTTTTTTGCAGGGGATGGGCTGTTTTCTTAATACGATCGTGTGGGTTTTCTTGAGAGCAACTAGCAGTTAAAGAGGCTATAGAGAAGATGTGTGAAGCTTTTTTGTATGCACTTGATGCTTGACCAATTGCAACTGTGTCAGAAAAAAAAAGAATACCATGCAATAATTCCTCCGAGACAGAGTCTACCTGCAGTACTACATGACTGAGCACTCTATTGATCAAGATGGAGCAGTCTGTGAATAAATCATACGCGATGCCATTAGGAAGGGTGATGCTTTGCATTCTGCCATGTAGACCATGCTTGAACACCTTTTTCTAATCTGCAAGCCATTTCTCATTGACCTCAGAGAGTCAAGTGCTGCAACATATCTTTAGGCCAAATTTTCTACTGAAGAGGAAACTAAAGGAAATGAAAGGGAAAGTCAGGCCCTTGAACCACCCTTGAATAATAAGCCGACTTGTCAGTTGACTAATGCTGCTGGCACTGCCAGCCGTGAAATACAATTGCTAAATATCAATTTTTCCATCTTTCTAGACAGAAAAAATGTCTGAGCCATAATAGAGTGAGTGCTCTCTGTTCAGCATTCCTTAGCCTCCTCCTCCAGAGTCCTCCCCAGCTCCGTGGCACCCGCTGCGTACAGTTTTAGCAAGACAAGTAGAAGATGGTGATGTGCCAGGGGCTACAGTTCTTTACAAAGGGAAGAGAATACCTTTTTTCTCCTCTGCCAGAACTGTGGAGATGCTGAAGGCCTTGTGGTCTCGGGTGGAAGAGGAAGAGAGCCGGAGGAAAAAGAGCTCCCACCTGGGAGATACTGAGGGGGCACTACTGGTCATGGAGAGGCCTCAAAACAACTAGCAAGAGCTCTGGTGGTGCCCTTAGCAGTAGGCCTCTCCTTCTCCATCCCCATACAGACACACTAGTCAGTATTAACAGAATATATTCTGGTCACGTCGTGATAACATTTTTACAGCAGGCAGACTACTTTTCCTTAGGCTAACCCTGAAGACCGTATGGAAACTACAGCTGGTCTAACAGTGCAATTTTCAGAGCATTTCCCTAATATGCCACAATTTATACTGGAAGCGTGGAGGTGTCCAGAAAATTTATTTTAAGAAATGATGATGTATTTTTTTCCAGTATTGGAAAGAAAGCTTGCAAAATGTATAAACTACAACAATAAAACAACAATTATATTAATAGCGTGAGGGCACAATGGAAAAATATTAAGGAGTGGAGATAGCTTTACCTTCCTTAATTCATTAAAGTGAGATGTCTTAACTGTTCGTTACAAGAAAATATTTCCTGAGCACATTTCTTCTTGGAGCTAGCTTTCTCACAGTGAACAGGCAGTTCGGCAGCGAGATAATCTGTCCAACTTGCAAACTTAAATTACCTCTGGCGTATTCTGGACGTAGTGGGAATTGTAATTTTTATTCAATAGTGCAATTCGGTTCATTAGCGAGGAAGGAGGACGCTGTAAGAATACTGGCCATTACCACATTTTACATTTCAGGTACCTTGTCTGTGTGGTTTCAGCAAATGTTTCCATACCTAATACGAGTGGAATGAGTGCTATGCTTGGGTTGTGACTCCAGTCCTGTTTTCTTTGTGTTTTCCTCTAACAACTGAATGATCAGCAAAGCACTTTATTTTTTTTCTGTGCATAATGCTTGGGATTTAACTATGCTTGATTTAAAAACGGTTCCATTATGTTCTCAGGAGCTGGATTCAGTTTTATATTAATATATTTTAAAAGTTATTCCTCAAAAGTGTTCTTTGGGATGTACCTGAACTTGTAAGAGAGCAGTACCCTGAATCAATGTATTTTCTAAAAAATTATTGCTATTTGTGTTACAGTAACATCTAGAGATCCCAACAGGAATGAGGGCCCTAGTTTGTCAGCATTATACAGGCATATAATCTTGGTCACATGATATTTACAATCTGTGTAATTCAAGGGTACACAGAAAGTCATTAGCAGGTATGGAATAAAGTTCAGTTAGAATAGAAGATAGATGTGTTCATAAACCTGAAGTCATTAAACTGGTTAAACGCATTGTACCAACCAACATGTATGCAAAAGCAAAGGGAAGACCAAAAAATTTTATATCGGATGTCTGCTTTTCTGCTTGGTGACCAGAGAGTTCATTGCTGCTTGAGTTGAGAGCAAGCTTATTCTCAGCATTCCTAAATTAGACATAAAAATGAATGCAAATAGAGCTTTATCCAGAGTTTCTCCACTGCAGTGAAAGACTCTTACTGGTTTTACTGGGCTTTAGAACAGGTCTTCATGTATAGCATATTCTTTTCCTTACTTTGGCAATATATTTTACTAAATTCAAGAGCAAAAGATCACAAGAGGACTGTATCACAGCATTATCTGCTTCATCTTAAAGGCCAGCTGGAAGTCTAGTTTCCATTAAAAGAATAATTAATAAGTGGATCAGTACAAATAATCAGAATTCTCTGACACTTCTGTTGAGGTGTATGAAGGCAACTGCTGAGCTGTTAAGGAGGAAATTGATGTAGGTGATGTAGGTAGCATTAGCAATGTGCTCATCTTCATCCATCCTTCAAACAAACAATCCATCCTCTCTTCCTGCCGGGACCCAAGGGAACTGCAAATTGATGGCTCTCATTATGCTCGCAAGCACGCACATCTTTTTTTTTTTCAAAAAAAAGTCTTCTCAAGAGTGAAGCACCTTCATTAGACCACTTGCCTTCAATTTTTAAAACCCAACTCTAACTTCTGTTTTTAATAGAATCACCTCACCTTTGTCTTCAATAATAGCTGGAGGATAGCATGAAATTTTTTATGCAATAACAGTTATGTAGGTCTCCAGATTTTACAACTAAATCTATAAGATAAAACATCCATACAATAAACCAGTAATTTTACTGTAAGGCCTACTTAATGTGGAGACCATTATGGTGATGCTGGCTTCTAAAGCTTTGTTATGTGAGCGCACAGCTGCAGAAAATACCAAGAAGGGTGTTTTGTAGAGAGTAGCAAAAAGTGGTCTCACCTATTTAAGGGGAACGTTAGACCTAAGAGTACAGTCAGAAAAGAAAACAGAGAGGGCTGTGCTGGGCAAGGAGGGAAATGGAAAAGCAGAGACAGAGTAACGGCATGACTATGCAAAAAGCCTTGAAGGTGAAAACAAGGAAAATGAACCACAGTCTAGCAAACTTTTACAAACCATAAATGATTTTGACCTTGGTCAGATCTTGTAGTTAGCTTCCTGTGTGTGGAGTTCAATATTGCCGGGGATGTCTGCTATATTGCCATAGAAACAAGTAATGGGGTTGTGGAAATGAGGAAATATCCTCATTTCCATTTTTCAAAATTGTTTTGCCACTTAGTAGGTTGTAATTATTTATATACTTTGACATTAATTATTATAAAATGCCTTGAGATTTGACTCGGCAGTATAATTGCATGTTATTTGTACAATGAGTTCTGGTTGTTGCAGCAAGCTTTGAAAGAAACCAGCTCCTCCAGAGCATTTTGGGTCTCAATGTAATAACTAATGCTGATATCTATGTGTCAAGAAGGTTGTTTCCTTCAGTAAAAGGATGAGCTTTTCTTAGATTTCTGGTTTCCTGACACAAGTTGCATGATTAACTCTTGTGTTGTGAGCCATCGTGGCTGGCAGAGATACTGTAGAGACATTGGACAAATCCAACAAGCTCAAAATAAAGGAGTTCCTGTTGTTATCAGGCTCTTCATTGACTAGCTTACTTCTTGCCACTGCTACGCTTTCAATAAGGTCAGGAGTCCTGGGCACTCTTCCCACGAGGAAAACTTTCTCCAGTGCTGCTCTTCAAGGCAGGGGCCAGGAGCTAGGAAATGAGCTGAGAAAGGCTACAAACCTGCGTTCTTGGGAAGCCTCAAATGGGTTCCTGATGCAGGATTTGGAAGAGGAAATAGGAGATGATGTTTTTGATCCAGTGCCCATATTCTCATCCTGGAGTAGGAACAAAGTAGTACTACAAGCAGCAGCAACCTCTTTGCTATGGCATGGGGAAGTGAGTTTCTTGCTGTCATCCGTGGGGCACCACAGCAGACTTCCGCTCACCAGTCCTCCCCATAATTACCTCCAACTAGTCAGGCTTATCAGGATAGGCATGGTGGTTAGGAAGGAATTTTTTGAGACTTTTGCTTATTCCAATTACAGTTTTCCTTTCAAGATCAAAATAATCTGTTGTCTTTGGAATTCATTTTTCTGTCTTGTTTTGGTTCTTAAAGTTTGAACAGTGTGGCACAGTATTATTTCCTAGTATGAACAGCAGGAGGGACTTTCTCTCCATGAACAAGAGTCAGTGTTAACTAAAGAGCAGTGCTGTGGAAGAGAAATGGCAATGTTACCCCAAACGTGCTGGGTCCTGACATGCTGTGCCAGCTCTGTGGAGAGTGCCGGGGCTCCGTAAGCTGGTTCATGCTGCAGAGAGCTTTCTGTTTCTACAACAGAGCCATGCCTCTTTCGGGAAACTACTTCAGTGAAGCTAAAGTTACAGCTCACACTCCACATCTGAGCGTGGGTACTGCTGCTTGCAGTTGCTTGTGTCCCTCCTCCTCTGCAACGTGTTCTTCATTCTGCGCTCCCCGTGGTGGAAGTCACTCTAGCTAATACTACAGGATTAGAAGATTTGTCATCTGATAAGTGTTGGGACACTGCAGTTCAATTCCAAAGTACCAGTCCGCTCCTTATGTAGGTGCATTTGCAATACTGGTGATGTTGATGTTAGACATTGTACTGTACCCATGCTGAAAATTCCCATACCATCGTAACCATTATGCAGTTTATAATTAGGACAAATTAATAATTAGGATACAACATGGGTTTCTGGAGGGTTGTAGGAATAGAGGACTTTACTCTTTGCCTCACACTTTGTTTTCCTTAATACCTGAGCTGTGTTTGCTTCTCTCTTCTGCCATGACAGAGCTGTTAAGCACTGCAGAACACAGCGTAGCTGCGTTTTGTGTTAGAGGGTTGACACAGCACGTTTAGATCTCAGAAGAATGGACTTTGAGTATAGGCTAATAAAACAGCAACCTACTGCTTTGGCACACTAAATGTTACAGCTGTCTCAAGGAAGAACAATATTGGTGATTGGTTGTGTAGAAATTAATTACGTCCTTTCTTTGTCTCTAGCTCTTCTCCACGATGACTAGAATAGTACCATCAGGCTGAACATAATGAGTTTTCCTAGTTACGGTTGTTGCAATCTGCACATGATGTATTTATGGTTTTATTGATTTTTAATATTTTAAAGCACCCAGATCCTACGACACTGGGAGCTTAAGAAGTATGAATAAAAATAAAATAGAGAGAGGAAGATGAAAATGTCATGATTACATTTTTTTTTAAAGGAAGATTTATTGTACTTCGACTCACACATGGCTGCTCTGAGGAACATCTGTTTTTTTTAAATTCATCTGCCAATAACTTTTGATAGAAATGTTTAGATGCTTCCTGCAGCTTCTTGGAGATCGGAGGCTAAATGCTTTACCTTCTGTTGAAAATGATCATAAAAGTAGGAAATAAGTCTTAAAAAACACCTCAGCAATAATTCTTGGGTTTTTGGCTTACTGGTTTTTAATATTCTCTTCCAGCTGTAAACGAAGGCCCGGCATCCCAGCAGCCGTCCTTGCTACCACCGGCGCAGCCTGAACACTCAAGCAACGAGGATGCCCCAAGCAGAACGATCCCCACGGCCTGCGTCCGCCCCACGCACCCCCTCCGCAGCTTTGCCAACCCCTTGCTACCTCCACCCATGAGTGCAATAGAACCGAAAGTCCCTTACACACCGCTTCTGTCTCAAACGGGTAAGGAAGAAGGGGGAAAAGTCAGTTCAGGGAAAAGATGCAAAGCGCAAGACTGTCCCATACGCTGAAGAATATCTTTAAGTGCTCACAGCATGAGGAGTGCATGTACGCGGTTTGATGGTAATAAGCTAGTATTTCATTCTGACATTCTGGCATAAAAATTCAGGACAAGACAATAGCTTAAAATCAGAGTTAACCAGTATGTCATGAAAAATGAAATAAATGAGATGCCAAATTAATCATTTGGTCTTGTTTCCAGTCTCCTGTTGTGCTACAATAACTTGAAGCAATGCCAAACGCTTGACTCTTGTTTCAAGGCTTGTCTTTTTGATAATGAAAGGACTATTTATGTATGCTGGAAAAGAACTGACTGCAATTCACTCCAGTGTGCAAAGTACTTAAAAATTAAATAGCAAGCATGCAAGGAACAGGAAAAAAACTATTTGAAAAATAATGGTCATAGAATAATGCCACTTTTGATTGAAGCTGCGGGCTGTTCCCAGGGTTAGATTAAATGGTTGTATATGGCTGTAATGAAATGTTCATTCATTGTCTCGTAAACATGCCGGTGACACAAGTGCGCGACTCAAACACCGTCTGCGCCAGCGTGGGCAGGTTTGGGTGGTGTGGGGCATGGCGGGGTAGGAGATGTTGTGCCTTGCCAACTCCAGGCTTCATTTCTGGGTTTGTCCCCTGAGCAGCGCCACTTCTAGAGAGCTGCTTTAAAACTTTTCACTGTTGGAGCACATGAGACCGTGTGTATAGTATATATGGTATATGCTTGGATCATAACATAGGCCCAATGCTAGAATTGTTCTTCACAGGAACTGGTGTTATTTGCGTGCCGCTATTTGGTGTAGTAGCAATAACTCCTAGAGCTACCTACTAAGGCAAAAAGAGAGTTTGCAGGTTGGTATTTCATTTTAACTGTTTACTCAGTTAGGTTGAATAATACCCAGTCTGGCTCAGAAAACCTTTGAGATTTCAGCTTTGCTCTTTCCTGTTGTGATATGTCCTTCTGAATGTAGTTTTCTTTCCACACAACGTATATCAGTTCCATGTTTGCAAAAAGAAAGCTACCCAAAAAATCTCTGCATTTTTTCCTGGAAGTACCTGCTATCCATCAGCAAGTAATCCAATTTCTGACAGCAGTCGGAAGTAGATAAATCCTTATTTGTTGGAGAAATGCTTTTGCCGGGTAGTACATTTGAATTATTTTTATACATAATAGAGTCAATTCATTGTTATGTAGTACAGCATTTTACTTTGTGAGGGTCTAACTCTACTTATCTTACTCCAGGGAGTAAGCATAGTCACCTCAAAAGGGCTATTTGCCCCGTAAATCAGTCGGGGTTTACCATGTAACTATTATTATGTGGGGGAGGTACAGAAAAAGGGAGTCGGAGCATGTTACGAATCTCCATAAATAATCTTGCCATCCTGATAAAGTTGCCTTTTTTGGATAAATAATCTTACTTTAGAAGATGCAATGTTTCCTACAGGCAAGGGGTAGGACTTTGTTACTAGGCAAAATTTAGACCTGAAAGTGGCAACGCTCTGTATTATGGCTGATAAAGCAATGGAAAATTCTGCTGTGCTGGATGCTGTCACATAAATGAAAGCATGTTGCTGGGTGATACAGAAGATTTAAATTATTGTGTTTACTGTTATTTTAAAATTGCAATTTCTACCTCTTAGAATTTTGTGTAACTTCATTTCTGATCTTCCACCTGCTGTTCTGTAGTGTCAGGGGCTATTTATTTTTCTCTCTGTATGGTTTCTCTTGTTTTTCTCAGTGTACTTGTCCTCGTAGTCATTAGCCAGACTGATACTATTTCCCTTACCAGTTCTTTCTAGAAAAGTCTGTTTTAGAAGCATTAACTTACACTTGTGCCTCCAGGCAGATGTAGAACTGCTTCTGGTCCTGTACAAGCTCACTTGCTTGCATTAAGGCCAATTTTTGGTTTATGTAATATTTAAGAGCTGCTTAGAAACTTTTAGGTCATTAGTGTGACTATTTTGGTTTACCAAATATGAATACTTATACAAAAGCCAGAATAAAAACTCTTTAATTTTGTAATTTTTCCCAGTATTTTTTACTTACATTTGAATATCAACAGCTTTTCATCAGAAATTCCAAATATTTCCCCTAGCACTTACGAATTTATTGGTTTCAAGCTTGGGGATCTGTTGGAAACAGGCACTGAATGTGTATTTTTTAAGCTTAATAATTGTCTAGTTTCTCAGCAGTAAGTAAATCTGTGCTTTGTGGTTTTATGCTAGTTAAAAGATGCTCAAAACAAGATTGATCTTTCAGTATCCACTCCTGAATCCCTTCCCTCTGGAACCTCAGTCTCTACTCTTTTTGCTTCAAATGGGAGATTTAATCCGCCTTTTAAATTTTGCTGGAAGGCTAAAGGGAAAGGAGAGAAAGCATTAAAAAGGAGGCCAAGAAACAGCACCAATAATTCTGCAAACTTGCTACTACCCATGAGTATGATATCTTAGCCATAGTTATATGGCTAAGATGTAGGCCATGGAAGGGGAATTTTGGAAACATTTTTGACTTTACAGAGCTCTTGATGGATTTCTTGATTTGTACCAACCTGCCAGAAAAGGTGGGCAAGCTTTTGGCAGACCAGCTGAACAAATTGCCATGTGGACCGTGTCTCCTAATTCTACTCCACTTAGAGACACCGCAGGCTTATAAAGCTCTTGGCAAATTCCCATGTTAGAATAATTGTTACTTTCCTCAACCTGCTAGATAGAGTTATTTGGTACTTTTTTTTAATCTCAAGAAATTTTTACATGTACTATGTAATAAAGTAGTAGGGGAATAAGTAATAGTTTCATCATTACTTAAAGTAATTAAACTACTCTTTGCTTTTCTCCCTTCTTTTTAAATGCATGTCAGTCAGGTAGCTTATTCCTTTACACGGTGCCTAAGTCTAAAGCAACAATCCTGTACAATTGAAAGGGGCGAAAACAACAGAGAACTGTAGAAATCGATCCGGAGATCTCCAGCAAAGATTTTAAAAAGCAGGAACCTGAAGTTGAGTAGATCCATCCCTATGAGCGCCTCCATTGCTGACTTGCAGACTCTAGCCCTGTGATTTTTATATCTCTTTTTATACAGCAGCTTTGACGGAAAAGCCTGTGGTGTCCACCTGGCGCTTGGCCTGCCCTGTTGCCTGCCCCGTGGCCAAGTGCATGCCGAAGCTCCATATCAGTGCAGATGTGGAAGTGTCAGGAAGGGATTTTAGACAGTCGCTGACCAAGAAGGTTGAAGGAGGAAAGTTTAGATTATAGTTCTAGAGTTGGCATCTAACGCTGGCCCTCATGCAGTTTTAGCATTTAAATTATTGTTTGGCTCTCACCCAGAGGATGGATGAACGGAGGGGGCTTTCTTGACTTTGACTGGATGCTAAAAGGCGGTCTCTCCTCTAGTATTTTACCCATTCAATTTATCTCTGTAGTGGCATTATAATTAGCTGTTAAACTCTATCTTATGTTTCATAAAAAAGACAGATCACTTTTCAGACGTGTGGGATTTTGCCATGAGGGTATGAATAAATATTGAAAAGGCTGTGCTCCTGTTTGTTGGGTCATGGCTTCAGCTTAATCCACAGCTAAAATCTGCCATTTTTCTTCTTCTTTCCCTCCCCACCTTTTTTTTTTTTTTTTTTGCTTGAGCCCAGTAAATCTGAGCTCTTTACATTAAACCCTCCTTGTAGATATTTTATAGGAGTTCTCAGCTTTTCATCACCGCTTTGTGATAGAGCGCTTCAGGTTCCCAATACTTTTTCTGAAAGCGTGGGAATATGTCCATGAGCTTTCCAGTCCCCACTGTGGCTGCAGCCACGTCTCTTTGCAAATCAGGCACATAGGCATATAAGTGATTTGACTTAGTCCCCTTTCAGGTTAAATAGAGAATATTTGATGGAGTGTTGAGCTTATTGCATTATAGATCTGCCATAAATTACACAAATGGACAGGAAACAATTTTTTTTTTTTCCCCTCGCAAATGAAAATTCCTTTTAGGTCTCGATGATCAGCTGCACTTTAAATGAACCTGAATTAGGAGGTCATTTTTCTTCTGCAGAAACAAGCGTGAGGTGATGGAAAACGCAGCCTCTGAAGTAGCGGTCTTTATAGCGTGTCGTGGTTCTAAAACTTTAGCTTTTTCAGGCTCTGATATCTTTTGTCAGAATGTAAAAATGCTACTTTTTTTTCTCTTGCTACTTCACCAAAAAAGTAGAGTTAAAATCCAAATTCTTGCCTCCCTGGACTGCCTCTGTCAGTTGGATGCCCCAGAGCTAAAAGTCACTTTGTTGCACAGCAAAATTGAGCTTTCTTTTCCTTCCTCCTGTTGCGCTGTGAGGCATGCCCCAAACTGGGAATGGTCTGGGAGTTCAGGGGAAGGGTTGCACTGCAGATGAACTGTGTAAGTTTTCAATTTAATTCTCTGCTTCTTTGGAAGAAAATGATGTATTCTCAATATAATTTAATGGGGGTTGTTTGGGGAGGAAGTCTGGCAGGAAAATACCTATGTGAAAAGCTGTAGTTGGCTATTGCCTGGACATCAGTGCGACTCCTGAATACCCAGGGTGAACTACACACCTAGTCTTTTCATTACCAAATGGGATAACAGAGACTGCTAAGAAAATGAGCTCTCTCAGGTTTTTTTTGTGTGTGTGTGTGTGTGTGTGTGTGTGTGTGTGCTGCTGCTTCTCTGCTAAAGCTGTCATAAAAAAGAACCAGAAAAACAAAAGAGAATACTCAAGCCAGCGGTAGCCAGTGGTAGCACCGTGAGTTAAAAGTCAAATAAATAAGTGATGAGATCAAAAGGAAGAAATATTAAGCAGTGAATCCTGAGCCATAGTGACCTCACATAGCAAGGATTTGCCTCAGAAGGCAATGAAATTGCAGGTATAAAAGTGAATATAGGCATGATGCTGTTCTGTTTGGTAAACTTGCTCTTGTACGTATGGAGAAAGAAT